CTTCAAATGATAGTTTTGATCTGTTTGTTCCTCCCCTCTGGAAACTAATGGGTCTTACTGTACCTGCTGCTAGAGTGGAATCTTTAGAGACTGCTCAGATACACTCACAGCTGAAGAGTCAACAGCATCACATATCTGACTACCACAAAGAACACCACACAGGCTACTCACGATTGCTGTCCCTGCACAGAGAACAGATGATGGAGGAACACCTACTGGTTGTAAGGGTTCTATCTGAGAATATAAACCCAGAGAATGTGCTGGAATGACTAACTCCACAGTCCTGTTCATGTCTTATGTGAAAATCAGTCCTACTGCACATTGAAAAAGCTGACCTTATCTAGGCCAAATACTGGTTTTCCATCATCTCTATCCTGATAGCACTGGTGCTCCATTTACTCCCCTTGGGATGAGTTTTTAGAGCTCTGAGTAATGTAATGCAACATTGCACAACACAGTGTCCCAGTGGCACGCTGTAACTATGCAAACATCTGCTGAACTGAACCCACTGAGGGCCAAATTGGATAGCACAACTGATTAGCTGGGGCCTTTGGGAATATGTTCACGATTTATGTTTATCTGAGTCACCAGCCCATGTGCAAATCACATTTTTCATTTTTCCTCCTTTTTTTTTTAAGGTGGAGCAAGAGCATTGTTTGGAAAAGGCACATTGCAGGAGTTTCTTTCTTCCTTCCAACTCCCCCAATATTGTTTCCAACACCAGCTTATTACCAGATTCCATCCAGCTCTGAAAAAATACAAAGTCTGTGCTTTTCTTGGGAAACACACCTACCAGCCAAAAATAAGCATTAAAAACAAACAAACAAGTAACAGAAAACCCTCAGAACTGCCACAAAGACAAGAGAAACAGATCAAAGCAAGAAATGGAAACAAGCTGCCATAAACAGCAACTGTACAATTGCCAAAGAACCTGACAATCTTGGGAGCTGGGTTTGTCATTTAAAACCAAAATGCTCTGTTATTTAGGGTTTGGTTTCTGTTTTGTGTTGCCAACTATGAACCACCTGTATCCTCTAATGTGAATTTGGCCGAGTGGGAGATGCACAAAGAAAACTAGCAGCTATTGTTTGTATTGATGTAAAAGAAAAAGCTTTTACTATTTCTCGCACTCCAATTACATTCTAAAACATCTCTCTCAACCTCCTAAAATCATAGGCAGATAAACCACATTAAAAATTCACATAATTCAAATAACTTTCCTTTTAATGCTAAAAAGGTGGTTCTTTTCCTAAAATTCTGACTACTTTCCCATTATCTGATCTGACTTCTCGAGGAGATATGATCTACCTTATCATCTATCTTTGAAGAGAGACAAGGACAATTTGCAATTCAAAAAATATGGAAGTCAACTAGGAGACTTTCAAGGAAGTATTTAGTTATGATTTCATAAAGTCCACCAATATTAATAGCATTTCCGTATCTTTTTTTACATGCAACAATCATAGACTGCCTTGTCCCCACAGAAAACAGTAAAGTCATACCAGTACAAAAGGCTTATAGGAGATTAAGAATGATTTTTACCTGTCTCTTCTTTTCTGGCTACGTAAAAAGGACAGGAAAGTGTCCACTCTGACAAGGAGTGCCAAGACATAAGAAATGGATTCCAGCAACAGTGAAAATGGCTTTTCAACCAAATCCACTGCACATAGCAGCATTTGAGAAAGTAGGTAAGTTGTTCCTAACTGAAATAAAAATAAATTGAGGGACTGAGAACACCTCAAAAACTTTGCATCATTAACTGTCATTAAGTGGTCATACACATTTGTCCTGCTTTGCTAAAAGCACCTAATTAGAAAGTGCTTAATTGTTGGCAGTTCTGATCATCCTGGTTAGGTAGGAGCTGGTTGAATCACTTGATTCCCAAGTCTCTCTGTGGCTTTCACAGCACAGGTGGGCTATCAAAGCCAGCAGTACAAACATGATGTAGAAGCAACAAGAATTTAAGAATCCAGTCTCTAACTTGGCCATTCAGAAATTTACTTAGTCATAGTATAAAAGTAGGCAAGATTCCAGCCTTCTCCACTACTACTAGAAGTTCATAATGAATTACTGTGATGAAACTACCACAGAGATATTAGAAGAATGATTTTGTCTCACTGGCAAGTGCCAGGTTTATAAAAATTTCCTTAAACACTCAGTGACCTCAGGAGGCTCTCCTTAGAATGCAAGGACTCAAAAGTAATTATTCTTTGCTGTAGCACACACAGCATCCACAAACATTGCAGACACATGACCTTCCACCCATCAAACCCCAGTGCCTGCCCCAAGCTTAGTTCTTCAAGGAGATTCCACGTCTGTCAAGTATTATCTCCATGACACACATGCTAGGTAGCATAGCCCAAACACATAGCCCATTCATACTTAGATTTAAACAGCAAATTCATGCCACTTAATCCATACCTCAGTGTTCATTCATTTCTGAATAAAACTTGCTTCCATCTGTGTTTCTGCTTTCTGTAGTAGAACTGCTTGGACAGTGAATCCACCAATAGTCCGTGGTAACTTACCTGGCTGCCTGTGTTTCCTTTAGTGTGCTACATTGTACAATATTTCATAGACCAAAGTACAACATAGAGTGACAGTAATTTCCACAGGCAAAAGCTTTATTATTACCTATTAATCTAAAAACTGTAGTTCTATTTGAGATCAAAGACCCTTGTTTTGACACTGAACACAAAAACAAAGTCTTTTCTGGTTAAAAGCTTTGGAAAAAAGAAGTCAAGAGAGTATTCCTTTGCACTTTGATAAAATAATAATTACATTTATCAGAAACACATGCTAATTGGATCATTCTGGAGCATTTTTCTCATTGTCTGGAACCGCAAATACATCTGGGTTTTATTTGCTCCATGTAAGTTAATAAGAGTATGGGCGTTTTTAAAACAATAACCAACATAATCCTAAAAAACATTTTCCAAAGGGAAAAGGGAGGGGAAAACGCTCCACGTTTCACCCAAGACTGTAAGTGTAAAAATTACTATAAGATAGAAACTGAAGGAAGTTTTCTATTGGCTATTAGCAAAGAAAGAAAAAGAAAGTTTAAGAAATCTTATTTCGGTGGCTACACATAAGAAACAGTGCAGTTACATTTATCATATTAATGGACCTAACAAGGGATGTCTCCTCCACCTACACAGATCAAAATAGTATTATCTAAAGTGCCAATACATTGGCCCTAGAAGATGTTAAGCATCTTCTCGTCACTAAATCCCTAACTTGGGAGAACTGGAAGCTTTCAAGCTTTTTGCAAGAGCACAGGGGATGTTGACACCTTCCAGATTTCACTTTACTGGACCAACCCACAGACAGTATGGTGCAAGGAAGAGCAGATGGCTTTTCTTCTGCTACCTCTGCTTCCTAAAGATGAAGCTGAACATTGTTCTCAAACCATACATATTCAGCTCCCGCTATGAGGAGAACAAGGCTTATTTATGTACATTAAAGCCTTCCATCCCATACTATATTTGCCCCATGCCAGAGCATGTCTCTATATGTTCACATGATTTGAATTTTAAGTGCCCAGACAGAGGAAAGCAGTTTGCTCTGAACTATGCAGAGACATTCAAGTTTTAGTCTTAACACAAAAAACATTGAGCCATTGGATATTATTTTTCCCTTCATTTGTTCCCTCTTAAAAACACACAACGCAAAGCAGGGGAAGGACAGAAAAACCAGAACCTTTACACTATTTTGGGCTTTGGTATCATTAGAAAAAATACCACAACAATTTTTCAATTGATAATGTCTTTAGCACTGACAGAAGCATGGACATCCAGTTTGTGCAGAAGTCAGTGTAAAGCCAGCAGAACACAGCATTTCTCCAGGTATCAAGCAATTTTTGTGCTTGCGTTTTACACTTCACATGTGAGGTCACGTGAACACAGTTTAATCCCATAACTTTCTTACAGGATCACAAACTTCTATGAAAAAAGACTAAATTTCACCATGTACTAATGGACAAAAACTATTCTCTGGGAATCTGACAAGACAGCAATAAAGTTTTTTTCCATCATGTAATTGAATACTAGATAATGTTCCCCAAGTTTGAGGGCAAGACAGAAGCAGGCTGTCATTACACTATTAGCTATATAGAGCAAAGCTGTAGAAAATATCTCACTGCATTTTACCCACCTGTTTTTGGACATAGATAATGCTCTATTTCTCCTACAGATATTATAAAGGCAGAAAAAACAGGGTTGCAGAACATAGTGTAAGTTAAAAGAGAAACAGGGCATAAGCAATTTGAATGCAGATTTTGGAGGAAAATAAACAGTGCATTTGATTCTCTGGAAAACATTTTTTACTCCCCAACTTATCCATGCAAGTAAAATATACACTGAGGAACATGGGAATAGACAGAAAGGTATGATTATAGACTGTTAAATCAATTAAGGGGCATGCAAATAAATAACAACAAAAAAAAGACTGATCATTTATAAAGCCAGGTGGGGCCTGATCCTCTTCCCATGACATAAAATGTAAATCTAGCACAGATACAATTACAGCTGCATTTTCCAGTATCAGCTGTGAGACACAGGACTTTTAACCAACAGGTAGAAATGACTGTCAAGTTCTGTGGACTGCGCCACAGAGGAGACAGGACTGCCCTACTGGGCTCTTCAAAGTCCATGAATCAATGGGAATTTGTACAAGGCAAAATCAAGATCCTACCCATCTCCAATTAGAGAGCTGGTAAGACCACGGCTCATTTTACTTACTATAATTGTGTAAATTAAATCCTGTTGGAATGTATGTAGTAATTAATATGACACCTGATTAGTTCAGGAAAACATGGACCACCATGTCAGAAATATTACTTATAATGCATTTGTGGAGGAAGAAATAGAAAAAGAGAAGTTAACCTATTGGGCAAAATGAAATTGGTTATTTATGTTTGTTTCCATATAATAAGGCACTTTTGTTTCAGGAATAATGCTATATATTCAGAGGCACATGTGTTAAAGTTGAGACACACTTACAAAGTAGCCTGTTCCCAAGCTGGATGGAGCTGAGCTCTGCAATAAAACACAAAGACAAAGTGGAAAGTCAGTGATGGTTTTTAACACGTTCCAATCCACACAGCTCATTACCAGTCCTTTCCAAGCTTTTCATCACTACATCACAGCACCAATGTGCTGCCCCTTGTCATCTGCTACTGAAACAAACACCATGTTGCTTAATTTTTCCCTTTACATCTCTCAACGACTCTGAGATGGTAACGTGCTATTTACTGAATTCCAAGCTTCTGCGGTGGACGTAATTGCCAATTTATTTGACAGGCAGCTGGGTAATGAATTAATGATGGCATTTCGCCCTGCACTGAGACTAAACAGACACTCATCAACCAGCCTCCCTGACATGCTGACATTCAATGCTCTGGACTCCAGCTACTCAGCTTTGTGGCCACAAAGGGGCAGGCAGGAGGGGGAAAAGAAAAAAAAACGTAGACTGACTTCAAAACAAAAAGCCCGGTGGGTTTGGATGACTTTTTCAGCGTATGACCTGTTTGCCAATTTATTCCCGAAAGGCCCCGGTTAGTACACACACAGTGCTTTTCCAAAATGAGACATTTTGTAAACATAATTAGTAGTTTGAAATGTAAAGAACTTGTGGGCACAGAGAAACCGCTTCAGCCAATGCACCATTTCCTGGAGAATGCAGTCACTACTATTTCCCATTTGGATGTCCACACTGTTTCACAAAACAAGGATTGAAAAAGAAAAAACAAAACCCAAATACCTACAGCGTGAAACCGACTTCAAAGTTCAAACCCATAAAAATAATTAAAGCTAATATTATTACCATGGAAAATAATAAAAAGATTTAAATGCTTTAAAAAATGCATCACTAAATTCAGTTTAAGTGGAGCATGATCACAACCTCCACATCCACAGGAATTAAGGAGATAAAGGGTTTTGTTTCATTAGTTTTTCATCTAAGCAATGAGGATTACACAGCAGGTTCTCTCAGAGACATGGTGAGAGACCTAAACATCTCAGTCCTAATCCAGGTCACTGCTGTTACATTAAAGGGTGAACAGTTCCCAGCGCTATGGCCTTATCACCTGAAACACTTCAAGCCAAGTTAGTCAATGGACAAGGAAGCAAATTGCAGAGGATAATTCTCTAGCGAGCAGCAGGTAGTCCAGATGACCAGTCTTTAACTCCTGTAGCTCAATTCCTGTTTCTGTTCCTTAGCACAACCTCCATTTCAGTAATGACACAGCTCAGTGACTACCAGGAACTGCACAGGGGCCCCAACCAGCCTTGGCAAAGCACTGGAAACAGGAAGGATTTCCATCACTGTCTCTCCTGTTCTGAGTGACTATTGCAAGGAACCCTAACAGCAAATTATCTCAATTTCTGACCAAGGAGTGCAGCACTGACATAAAAGAGAATAAACCCCACAAGTGGCTTCTGGTATCTTTCTGTTGAAATTGGCACAGCAGAAATAATTAGATTGTGCCAAGAAATTTAAAATTAACAAAATTCATTGCAAATAATCAGAATATTTGTGTGTCACCAAAGCAACACTAAGAAGATGTTTACTGAGGTTACATATCTATGGGGGAAGTCCTTCTGGTTTAAGACACTAGAAGGTAAAGACTTAGCAGGAAGAAATCACCCTGGTAGTCGTAAGGGTACCAATATCATAAAACCAGCAAACTGTTGGGACATGTATGAATAAACAAAACTGATACAGAAATTTGGATAGTACGTGGTTCTTGCCCCTTAATTATCAGTCTTGTGTGCTGTGGCTACTGCAGGGTCGAGATCTGCAGTCAACAGATATGGTTATCAGTGTGCAAGGGGACCTGGACAGAAATTAATACAGTCCTAAAGTCCTTCTGGCCCCGCTCATGCTGCTCTGAGGCCTCAGGCTCCCTCTGCTACCATCATCCACAGCAAGACCTTCTGGGTCCCAAAGATGATGTCCCTGACAGCACCTCTGCAGCAGCATCACACTGTGGTGCAAAGGAATGGGCAGCGCAGATTTGAAACTCCGTGGCTGTGAGGCCCCCAGGCTCAGTCCAATTGCTCTGCTCTCCCCTCCATCCCCGTGGCCATGCAGCTGGAAACAACACTGCCACAGCCCAAGCATTGCCAGGCTACTGCTTCCAGATAGAAAGTCCCCTTTTATGAGCCACATCCCAGAGTTTGGTGAGCCACTGCAGCCTGTAGACTGCAGCTCTCTGACACCTGGCAGAGATCACACTTCAGCATTTTCCAGTTTAGTATCTCATGCATTTACTTTCCTGATAAAGAAGATTATTTATACTGCCTTTCACTTTACTCATTCTGCTTTCTCGTTCATGCCATCGGAATTATTTTAATTTAAACTAGAGATCTACCAACATAGTAGAACACATGCAATCATTATAACTGCTTTTGTTTCAGCTGTGTACAGATGCCAACTGAGCCCCACTCTTCCACTCACAATTTTTAAAACCTACTTTACAGGCTGAAAGCTCCAAACTTCACATTCTGCATCTGTGTTTAATTTTTGTCTGCTTTTTATTCCAAGTTTCAGAAGGATCAAGTATCAAAACAAAACGATAAAAAGGAAGAAAAAAAAGAATAAGCAAACAAAGTATTTCCCACTGAATATTTCCATTCCTTCAAAAGCAATGCTGCAATGGCTATGGGAGGACAGTCAAAACATAGCAGTCAAATTACTTTCACTGAAAAGAAACAACTGTGCATATTCAGGGAATTTAAGTTTGCTGGATGGAAATATAGCCCTTCACACATTGCATGCTGCATATGGATAATACAGTTTGCAAACTCTTTGTAATTGAGGTAAGAAAGACTGTATTGCACATGCATGAATGACTGTCAGCTGTGTTGTGAACTGTGTATTGGCAGAGCACACAGGCTGAAGCAAGGGCTATGCAAGAAGACAGCTTCTCACCTTTTGTGATAACTCCCAATAGTGAAAGGCTTCTACTACCCAGTGCCCAGCCTCGGTACCAACTGATGAATGTGATACTGTGTATGCAGCATCTTTACAAGCCCATGCTGAGTCGTGATCCTGCACTGGATGGTTCTAGATCTCTTATATAAAGTGTGCCTATAATAGAGGTAATGGTTTCACTTTCCAAAACCCTTTGCAAAACTCAACATTAGATATACTATTTGACATTCACACAACCACCAGCAGAAACCTGCATCAGGCGCCCATCAGCAAAATACAAGTCACTTGCTTAAAATTGTAACAGGGTTTTGGTTTTGTTGTTTTCCTTCTGCCCCCCCCCTTTTTAAAAACCAAACACAAACTTCCTTTCTTAAAGGGAAGAACTTTTGGCCCAGGAGCAAAAATGTAGTAACCCTCATGTAAGCATTAGTTTATTGTGTACCAAAGAAAATTACATCCTTGAGGTCTTGGAAGGCACAGTTATACCCATTTTGCATATATATTGTGCATTACTTGGGGAACTGGGTGGGGAGAAAGACTGTGTTGTACATATTTGTTCTGGCTATTGTTTATGCAGGTCTGACTGAATGAAGGAACAGTGGGTATCATTTCAATTTCTGATGTCAACATCAAATTACTTATTTAATTTCATGCCTGGCGAAGCATTGTATAGCTACACGCAGAATCATTTCACTTCATTTGTTATGCTGTGTTTTCTTGGTGATTGGCTTGCCTTCCAACTGACAGCTTTAATTACGACATGAATTTGATTGCACTGCCGAGGAATTAACATAATGCAACAAAGCATTTAAGCACCCAACCTTAGACACACAAACACACACACACCCTCACGTACACACACACACAAAGAAGCAGCCACTGCAACTGATCAGCTTCTGGCACACACACACAGAGGTTTGCTGGTGTTATTCCACTTCAGATACAGCCAAGATTAACAAGGATATTCTAGAGAAGGAAAAGTACTAAATATTTCAGAGCCCACAACCAAAAGACTGGCCCTCAATTTGTCTTTCTTTGGGCTCAGTCCACAGGTGGGAGGAATGTGAGACAGCGTATTGAAAATAACCCGATTTTGGGGCCAAAATCACGAGCTGTGCCCAAGATTACACTGCTGGGGGTGTAGACACCTCCCTTCCCCACAGCAAGCAGTAACAGCTTGGGTGGGCAGGGCAATCCAGGACATAGTCCTCATGGATACCTCCCTGAGACCTATTCTTAAGCACAAAGTACACAATGCAGGAGCAGCACACAGCTACAAAACACTGGAGAAAGAGAAGCACTCATGAAATAGTGCGACAGCTTTGATGAGAGCCCAAGACAAGACCTGTAATAAAGGGACAAATGGAAAGATTCTTGTCCTACTCCCTACTGAGGAACTGGAACAGTATTCTAGACAGAAAGGTGCCAAGTATTTCTCCTGGCTTGTGATTCCTTGTTCAGCCAAGGCAAGCAGAGGCCAGGGAGTCCACATTGCTGTTGTGCAGCAAGAGTGGAAGAGCTGTGCTGCCTCCCAGCCAATGACCACATGTGAGAGGCTGTTACTGTTCATCACTCTGCTGACAGCCTGTAGAGCCAACACCAAAAGCATCAGGCAGGGCTGAGTGTGCCCGAAGCAGCTTGTCAGTCCTCTCCTGTCAGTGCAGGCTTGCACTGTCACTGCACTGACACTAGCATAATGATGAGTAAGGTTTGTTTCACAGACATCAGATTTTTAACAGGACTAGCAATGATTTTATAGTTGAATGTGAGCTTCAGTTCCTTGGTAGATGAGGAATTTAGAAATGTGCATCAAAGAAGTCGGGTTTTTGATTCCTTTTTTATTAGAAGGAGGTGGCTGAACCCCTGAATACTCTGTGTGTTTACCATCCAGGTGAGCTGTAACTCTCATGTTTTTCTCAAGTAAATCTCCTAGCTGCTTTGTAAAACATGGCTCAAAAGTACCATGTATTCCAAAGGTAGAAGACTCAAAAATAAATACATACAGAAAGGTAAGGAAAAGAAGTTGACTGAACTCCAAGCTGAGGAAAAGAGAATGAGCTGCCATCTTGTCTTCAAGCAAAATCTCAACAAAATAAATTCTACTATTGGCAAGATTTTGATGAGATTAAACTGACTACAGCACCCTATATATAAAGGAGGAGCAGCTCTTCAATTTCTCCTTTAGGCCCCTGGATCTACCTCTATCCATAAAGGAAAAAACAAGTTGTCATTCCCAAAATACTGCAGAGGGAAGAAAGGCAGAGAGAAATGGGCTTATGAAATACAAACAGGGAGATGTATTAGGGCACTGTCAAATGCCTGCAATAGAGCATTTGAGCAATCATTATCCCTATTCTAGCAGAGGTCAAGTTCTCTGCTAATTATGTTCTCACAGAGGGGTGTGTGTGTTTGTGTACACATGTGCGAGATGAGGACAAAGAAAGAAGTTGATGGAAATCAAGTCTCACTGCACTGCATCTGACAAGAACATAGGATATTCCTTTTCCTACTGTCTGATGCTATTTCAAGCCTCATTATGAGAAGAGTCTCCTGTTTAACATGGTCTTTTCACAGAATTATCATCTTCTCATTTTGACCACCTCTCTCGCAAACGCTGCAAATCACCTGCTCGGATCTCATTAGCCTGGAAAGGAGTCATCCCTTGTAAACACACTTTGCATCAATCTGCATTACCCAAGGACTGCAGGTACATGTACAAGATGCAGAGTTGAAAGATATCTGACAGGAGAGGGAATGAAGCCACTGACATGTCAGTTTGCAACTGGATATTCATTATACCATCTCCCTCATTCTGCATCTGTCACTAAGCTATCACTTAGGCTCCACATTAAAGCCCATGAAGCTAACATTACTGTTTCAACAGCTTACTTACAACTAGGGATTTGAAAATTGATCATCCACCTAGAGTATATGCACTCCATTCATTATACATATTTCCATGAAGTAGCCATGCTTAATCTCACAAAGCTGTCAGGCTACATCAGTGGAGATTCATTATATTTCATGTCCAAAAATTGCTTTCTGACCTGAGGGTTAATCTGCCTGCAATATTTTTAATTTTTGTTCTATCTTACTTCGAGTACACAACTTCTTGAGTATTTCTTCCAAGAAAAGTGTTAAATTCAGAAGAAGATCTTCAGGGAAAACTTGCTCTTTCTGTCTGTTTTTTGGGGTTTTATTTTGGGGTTTTTTTGGGTTTTTTTGTTTGGGTTTTTTTTCTGGAAGGTAATTGGTAGATATCATTAGACAACTCACTCCTTGAAAAGATATTTAAAATAACCTTATTAAGCTCCTGATGCATCTTTGTGCATAAGAGGACAGTTCCAGGTGGCTCTCCCATAGCTGGAAGTGGAAGTACCACTACTACATTGTAAAGCCCTGTCATTTAAAAACAAGGGCTGTTTGTCTTTGGAGAGAGAAAAATGCAGAACAGTATTTACTTTTCTAACTGAAAGACTCTGGGAAAGGCCACCACACATATTCAGGCAAGATGAGAGTTGTCTTGTGCATGTTTTTAAGATCTCAGCTGAACTGGAACACCACACCAGAGAGACATGCCTGTATTGCAATGAGTTATCAAAGCATAAAGCAACTTACTTATTAAACAAAACATAAATTATGTAAAATTATTTTAAAATATACATTTCCACATATATTTACATAATGTGCCTTTCGAGCAACCTGTGAATCCCCATGTCCTCTCTTGGGAGCACTAGGGAAGTTATATTTGCTCTCCACTTCCTTTTAATTTGCTGTAGTGCCAAGACAAAGGGAAAGGATTGTAAAAACTTCAGAGAAAAACTGTATTTGATTGGTGGAAGGGGAACCAGGACTCTGCTCTCACTGCCAGGTCTGGCACTGTAATGCTGTGAGCTGCTGGGAAGCTCAAATAAGCCTCAGAACTCTCCACTCAGTACACTGCAAGGGAGTGACAAGGCTAAATTAAAACCATGTCTGTAAGAAGCAGTGAAATTTCTTGCTGGAAGGTGCTGGGTAATTGTGAAGTTCACTGCAGTGACTTCTCAGCTGCTACAGGGCTCAGAGCAAGGCAGCATGGCAACAGTGACAGGCTGACTGTCAGCTGCCATTCACTGCTACCTATGCAGAGCATTTACTTACTATCTCCTCTGGCTTCACTCTCCTCTTCCAAAGATACCCTACAGCCCTAAGATTGACCTCACCTGATGGATACGAAGGGCAGGCTCTGAAGTGTCCAACTGAATGTACCCATAAAGGTTGGCTCTGGGGGATGAAGGGACCCCTACAGTAACGTGACAAAGGGTTGCAGAAAGAGAGTGCTACAGATTTCACACCTTCACAGAAAAATAAAATAAAATCAGGTGGCTGTTCCAGTGATAGACACAATCCAGGCAGAAGTGCTAGCTGTGTGCCTGCAGGCTTAGATTCACACAACAAAATATATCCTTCACAAAAGTATTTCCTTTAATATCTGCTCAATTCTATTTTATTGGATTGGCCTACAGAGGACACCATCTGGTATCTGTCATCCAAATCTACATGGACATGCCACCAATAAAATCCTCATTTCCAAAATGTGGGTTAGTTAAAAGTAGGGCCAGATTGCTGGCTGATACAAATTGGTCTGACTAATGTAGCTATCCATGCTTTTACTAGCAAAGGGTCTGACCTACAAAATCCCCAATTTAGATACTCTTTTGGGACAGGGCTGTCTTTATATTCTGTGTTGTAAAGTGTGTAGCACAGAGGACCCAGAGCCATGAATAAAACACTCAAGGATTGTGATGGTACACATAATAAATAATAATCTAATTGCAGCCACAGAAAGATTTCTGTAGTCATTCCCATGTTGGAGTAACTCATGCATGTCATTCAGTGACTGGCCAGCATTCTTCAATGGAGAAAAACATTCACCCCAGAGCTGCCATTTCAGGACCTTCCATAGCAGTTTAGGTAGAGTAATAAAGGCAGAGCTTATACTATTGTTGGCCATGTTACATCAATTCATTATGTATAAATTATCTGAGTCTCTCCAGACACTCAAATACTTTTCATAAAGACAGTATTTAGCCCAAAGAAATGCAATCTTTTTCCTTCCCCACTTGGGTAAAAAGAGGCCATCTCACTTCACAGCTATGCAGGGCATTTTAACTTCATCAAATGGCCTTCAACCATGTCAAAATGAATCAGTGCTTTCACACCAGACACCGTACCAAACTTTAAAGAATTTTACTGAACTGAGGCAGGAGACCTAAGTTACCTCTTCCTCTCCCAAACCCCAAAGGGAAGGGGATTTTAGCAACAAACCATCCCAGAGATTAAATCCTGTTAAAACCTACACCCCTCAGAAAGCTACACCAGGAGTTAATCAGGGCAGTATTGGGCTGAAGGAGTTTTACTTACGTCACTGAGTCTTTCCCGAGAGCTACTTCGATGGAAACCTTTTGATTCCCCACTGGCACTTTCACTGTCACTGTCTCTGCAACTGTTTTGACCTGGCTTGAGCTGAAGGAAAGAGAAAAAACAAAGAGAGCAAGAGTTTAGCCTGACTCAGGTAAGTTTTGTTCTTCTTTAACCCTTCCACACATTGACACAAAGACCCATTTACGTGGTGCTTGCAGCACTGCCAAGGCAGCATCTCAGTGAGACCATGGATGCAAAGCGAGCTCCAGTGCACAGCAGCTCATGTGCAGGCCAAGACCTTGCAGGTAGAGTGAGGAAACACTCATGCCCAAAGGAAGTCACAATTTAAGACCTCCATTCTGGGAACTTCCAGAATTCTCAAGTTGTTTATGCCAAGATGCAGTTTTTAGAGTAAGCAATGCATCAAAGCACATGCAGAATCATTACAACATGAGTATTGAGGATCTAAGATCAATGGAAATCTCTCCAAGGAAAGGAGCAGCCATCACTTCAGGGAAGCCTTTTGCTGGATCATGTCCCTAACAACATTGTCTGGTTGTATAAAAAATTCTTGACTAATACAAGTGTTCATAAAACAACATGATTTGCTTAATTGGTATCAGATTGGTTCTGCTGTTCAAACCAGCTTTAATGAACTTCACTGCCATTTCAATAAAGAAAAAATTTAAAACAAAGTATTTTTTCAACACGATTGAGGAAACATCTGCTTTCTCTGACACTCTGGATTATGCAGGTCAACATGTTACAACAGTAGTGTACTGGAAATTAACATTTACCATATACATACATTACACACATGTCCACAAACACATATACACAGCAAGAGGAAGATAACAACTATATCTACTGGAATGCTGAAAAGGTCTATATGTGCTTTAATGTTTCCTTCCCTATATTTTGCTTGAATGTATTACAATTTTCTTCTAGCTGTGTTGATGCTTCATTCAAACTGATTTTCTGAGGTTAATACTAGCAAAAAGTCAATTTCAGAAATGTAGATTTAAAATCACATACCTAAGTACTGGCAGCGAAGGTAAATGCAGAGAAAATACCTGGTGAGGTACCTAATGAAGCATTTTATAAGATACCTACTACACTTAGCAAAATTCATATAGAAATAGCAAACAGCTCCTCCTAATTTATTTTATTAACACATTCATAGTGAGTTCTATTCAGACTTCTCAGAAATAGATAATCACACTCATCTTCATTTCATGACTGGAGACCAAAAGTTCCTTCTCCATGAACTCTCTCCACCATATTCCCTCTTTCTTCCAGCTCTTCTCATATTTTTCCAATTTTCCCAGAAACACACAAAAATTCACACATATTCTCTTGTATAGGCATATGCACACAAAACTTGTGCTTTAATCCCCAGACATACATTCCTACCCACACACCCTGTCTGCCCAATCACACTGCTGTTCTCTCCCAGGCTCAAGGCACAGCACCCTCACCCTAATGATTATCATCCGGGTCTCCCTACCACTACAAGAGCAAAATGCATCTCTAAGTTTGGTATGTTGGAGTGTGTGCTGCTTTACCTTCATCCCTTATTCTCCTCATTAGTAAAATGCAGTTTTGGGTGTACTCTGTCAAAAGGAAGAAAGGGGGGAAAGTACTTACAGCTACAGCCTCAGACACACCTGGGTTGCAATGCATGAACACAACTGCAAAGGATAGCACAGGTGTACTCTCAACCCAAAGAAAATGTAACTGAAGAACTAGAGCTATTTGTCAAACACAATTTCATAAAAAACCCTAAATATTCGACAGCCAGAAGAGCTCAAGTAAAAAAGATTATTGTTTTGTGGTTGTTTTTTTTTTCTTCCAAATGGAATGGTTTATCAGTCAGATCAAAGAGAACTCACCAGCATTTTTTGGAGGCAGAAGGGAGAATAATGAATTCAACAAGTCTCATACTTCATATATAACTCAGAGATCTTATCTAGGACCACTGTGTACTGTAATTTTATGGTCCCAGGTTTAAAATCTAACCACCCAAAGGAAAATAAATCAAGTTTCCCTGACTCAGTCTGTTGTCAACATCCACTCAATGATGGAAAAACTCTTATTCTAACAGGGGTCTGAAGAATTTTTTCCAGTTTCAAATTTTATTTTTAGAACCTCAAATTATTTTGTACACAGTTTTCACACATTAGTTATTTGCTAACTAATCATAACGGTGCATTTTTATACTTCTACATTGTAAATTCCAGCTGTTTACACAGAAGAAAAACCCAGAAGGTGTCATCTTTCTAGACACAATTTACAAGGAATAAGAGAATATGACCAAGATATCTGAGCCTGAAACTCTGTAGGAAGAAAGTGAACTACACACACTAGATAGCAAACTCAGAAGTAAGTCCAAGTTAAGATTTATAAGCTTTCCATATTTTCCATTCTTTTTTTCCAAGTTGAGTTTCTCCCTGTGCCAAACTGTTGAGGGTTTACATTTTAGTCCAAATCCCATCAATCTGTGCTAAATTTAAAAAATAAAGCATGGAAATGTGCCCATTGTCTTAAGAACCTAAAGTTACACACAAATGCACATGAGAATACTTGGTGCGGATAGGCAACGGTTCATTTCAATCTACTCACACTGATTCAACCATTTAAAATTAAAAAAACATTGAAATAACATAGTGCTGCTAAAAGGATCTGCAAATAAAACACTAGATCTTTAGTTACATTACAAGTATTTGGTGCATTACTCTGGAGCACATGGGAACCCTAAAATCAGATTCCTCTTGAAAATAAAACTGTCCTTGGAAAAAATTTGAAGTGCCACACTGACAACTCTTGTATCATTCCTGTCAGGGTACCCCATGCAACAAGCAAAGCCAACATGAAACCCCCATGATGTCTGCTCAAGTGTCTCTCTGAGGAGCTTCCCACACTAACACAGCTGTTATTCTTCTAATTTACACTGAGTGAGGAATGAAGAAGGGTTTGGGGAAAGCACATATGACTCCACACTTCCACTGTGCAGTGGGAGTGAATTTAACTACAGGGACTCACAAAAAAAAGAAACATTTTCTAAACTGAAAGCACAAACTCCAAAAAATGCAGTGTCACTGACTTACAATGGACTTGCACAGCCTCAGGGACTCCCTGAGCAAGAGGTACATGCAAAAATACCTGATAATCAATGACCTGAGTCCTCTTCCCCAGTGTGCATGGCATGGGGCCAGAACCTTGATGTACACCTGTGTCTCCAAATCTCTTCTAGGCATTTTTGGTCATTCTTAGCATCAACATCTCATATCTGGACGTACTTCATCACACTACAGAACCTAATATTTTATGATGATTGTAAGTGTACTGGAGGATAATAAAAGTATATGAAAAGTAAGACAAAAAAACCCAAAAGGATCTGGAAGGATGGCTGTTGGCTGAAGCACTGGGCTGGGACTCGGCAGTGGCTTTTAGTGCTGACTCTTAACCACACCCAATTTCCCCCCAGAAAAGTGAAAATAATGACAGGTCTTCCCCACTCTCCAAAATTGGCCTATTTAGAGGGTTTTTTTGGCTGGGATGGTGTCCCAGCAGGTGATAATCCCACTCACTGCTCTGGGGCTACTGTGGTAACAACAACGATTTCTAACAGCGATGTGGCTCCATTGCCAATGTATATTAACAAAAAAAATCACCCTGAAAACACCTGCACTCACCCAGGTCTTCATTCCTCCCTTTCATACAGACAGGAGGTCCATATCTGTGTTTTACATGTGCCTGCCGAGGTGCGGGCAGCACAACTCTGTGAGGCGAGGCTGCCTCTGCCGCGGCTGCTTCCCGCCAATTCCAGCCAATCCCACCACAGCCTCCGCCCCTCAATGCTGCCGTGAAAG